CCTCATGGGTTTCTTAGTAGTGGTGAATGTTATCTGCAATTAAAAGAATTTTTTTTAAGGAAAAATAACCAAAACCTGCATCTGTGAAAGTAAAAATATACAACAATGCTAATCTAGATAAATGATGTAAACTGTTTAATAAAAACATTTACCCTCTGTTTCTTGAACTTAGTCTGTCATGTATAAAGTTACAGTAAGATCTTTGAATCCCTCTGTAGGCTGATCTAGAGGTTGAGAGCTGGTAGAAAGATGAAATAACACTTTGTGCTGGAAGGCATTGAACAATCTCTCTGTAAGGGTCAATTTCAGCTGGTGGTGCTCCCAGTTTAATGCAAGTGTCACACACATTTCCAGTAGGCAGATATAAGCACCAGGGCGTGTTTTGCAGCTATTGAAACTGTGAGTCCCAGAATTAAAGTCTCCAGTTTGTTTTTCTGAGGCACTAAATGGTAGCTTGAAAAACTGATATCCACCTTTGGGATCTTGATTTCAAAACAAGCTGGACACTCTTGTGTGGTGTGCCTCCCTGGCCATTTGCAGTATAAGTCTGGCTTGCTCAATGCCCGAAAATGAATATGTATGACCATGTACTTACTGTACCTGCTGCTGAGACAAGTACTGCATCAGCAGGAAGGAACTGTTTTCCAGTCTTTGGAAGGGATTCATCAGGAACAGGTTTCCACTCAAAGATGAAGCCATTCTGAATATCTGTATCTGTTTTGTGACTTCAGCTTCACTTTGAAATTAATATCTATCCACACTGTGCACCGTTTTGATCATGCAGTTTAGTGTTGTATATACTCTCTTGGTCTTCTCTAGCAGTAAAGAAGGTGACTGTTTGATAGGAAAGGTGTTAGACTGGTGTTTCTGACAATTTGTGTGGAGATTTTTAGCTGTCCTGTTTTTAAAATCTATGCTGCTTCTATCACTACACAACAACACCAGTACAAATTACACACTTTGAAAAAAAGATATTGAATGGTCTGTTTTCTGCCCTCAAAGGTCTAAATGACAGATCTCCAGCTGATACTACTTTGAATGCATTAAAATTAATTTGTGGCTTTCAAAGTCGCCTGTTTATCCACTGTGACTGCATTGGCTTGGTGGTACTAAATGAAAATCATTTGAGCCTCAGCTGTGAGGTGACTAGCACAGTATTACAAGCAGAGAGTAGGGATGGCAAGGAGATATCCAGGTTATGAGATGTCCTGACCTCTCACACCCTGACATCAGTCACATTCCTATGAGGCACTCCAGCATCTGTCTCCTGCCTTTCTGTTGAGCATTACCCCATGGAAACTAATTCTCCATATTTTTTTACCCCCTTTAAGTGATTATTGCCTTGGTTAAAAAGAAAACCAAACTCAAATGTACTACTAAAATTTTATCTTTTTTCCTAACTCTATATTGAAATAGAATTTGAATGCAAAGCTAGTTGAACAAACACTTCCCTATTCCATTATGAAACACACTTAAAAGACGGTTTATTAAATTGTGTGTTATTCCATGCAAACTGACCGATTTAAAAGGAAGAAATAAATGCAAACATCTAAAAAAACCCCCCTTCTATTATGCTACTGAAAGAAAAATGTGCTGTAGTGCTGTTTAAAAAAAGCTGATGAACTAATTACCATCAAATAAGATGCAGCAGGAGTATTTTTGGAATAATGGACTCTAATTAGTCCATTGCTCGTGGAAATAAATCTGAGGACATCATTAACACATCTTCTTCTATTAATTGTAGCTGTTTCTGGTTTGGTGTAAGCGGGTTGTTATCTCGTGACAGTTGCATTGCAAAGAGGGGAAAAAAAAAAGTGAGAGGAGTATTTTTATCCGGGGTAGCTGGCAGTGTCTTCTGGGAGCCAAGGAGAGCTGTAATTATACTTTTGAAAGTGAAAATTGGGCATTGTAAAGAAGGTGTCGGAAGGGGGCGTTTTGGCCGGCCAGAGGCGGGCCCCGCTCCACGAATGAAATCCAGTGCGGGCTTTGCGGCCGCCCGGCCGCGGGGCAGCCCCTGCGGTCAGCGGCAAAGTCCGGAGCCGGATCAGGGCGGGGGTCGCCCGCGGAGCGGATCCACGGTGCTCCGGAGTGCTCTGAAACCCTGGGGGGGAAAAAAAATGATAATTAAAAAAAAAAAATCCAAGATCCCCCCTTAACCCAGAAGTAAACCACATGAACACAGACTCAGTGGGACGGCCCGCAGACCCCCTTTCCCCGGGCGGGGCCGCGCTGGCCGCCCGCCCGCCCTCGCGGGGCCCGAACGGAGCTATTTTGGAAGTGACCCCTCGGGCGGGCGCAGCGCGGGGCGGGCGCAGCCAGCCGGCGCAGCTGTCCGGAATCATGACTGAAGATGACGGATTCCGTGGTGGTGGAGGGTCACGTCAAGTTGAGAGACGGAAAAAAGGTCCCCGCTCCCGGCGCCCCTTCGGCCCGCGGGGGTCCCCGACCGCCGCCCCTTGCCCTGAGGGGAGCGAGCCCGCTCTCCCCCCCGCGGCCCCGGCTAACCCTGTCCCTTTGCCTCTCGTTGCAGTGGAAGAGCAGGTGGCTGGTGCTGCGCAAGCCCTCCCCGGTGGCAGGTAAGGGGCCCGGGGGTGGGTTCGGGGCTCGGGGCCCGGAGCTTGCCCGGCTGCCCGGGGCGAGTGCCCGCAGAGCCTCGGCGGGGCCGTCCCGGAGCGGCGCTGCCCGGGAGCCGCGTCCGGCTGCGGGGCAAGCTCTGCGCCCACTAAAAACTACGGGAGAAGTGACTTTGCAAGGCACAGGCATTGGATTTGGTGCCCGTTCAAAGTGCACTTTTTAAAAATTTTTTTTTAATTTTTTTTTTTTTTTAAATTTTTCTGGTGGTGAACTTACTTCTTCAGGGTGATTGCTGGCTGTAAAAAAAAACCCACCAAAAAAAAAAAAAACAAAAAACCCAAAAAAACCCCACCAAACCCTGACACTGTAAGCTCAGTAGTTATTTTTGATCAGTGTTTTGACAGAAAATATCACTTCAATTTAAAAATAAAATGACATTTTGAATTACGGAAGAGAACAAAAAAAAAAAAAAAGATCATTTCCATGCTTCTGAAGGGGAAACTGAACACGTTACACAGAGCTGATGTTTTACTGCTGCAGAGGGAAAAGTAGGCTTTAGGTTTCCCCACCTGTTCCCAAGAGGGAAAACATTTGGGCCCAAAAGTATCTTTCCAGGGCTAATGTTGCCCACACTTGGAAAACGTGAATCTGCGCTGCTGCAGAATGGATTATGGCAGCCCTTCTAGCCTCTTGCTAGAGAGACTGAAGGCTTCTCAGTAATTCTTTGTTACCTGAGTTGTTACAAGACTATTTTAGTGGTTTAAATACCTGTATCTCGTCTAAATCTGTGAAACCTCCCTGTGTGAAAGGAGGTTGGTCATAGGGCTAGTACATAGACCTGTGAACATGGGCCTGCATTTCTGTTGTAAGCCAGCTTTGAAGGCTGTCGATGGTGGAGCCTGACTGAAAATGGAGCTTATTCCTCAAAAATACTATTTTTATTCTAGCTCAATTAGCCAGGTTTACTAAAAAGCCCCTGGTGATTCGCTTTTCTTGGTATGTAAACCATAGCCGTTCCTCAGACACACAACTGTATTGCAGAATGTCTAAATACCGTGGTTGCAGCTGTTTTTGCTAACAGGTGCACAAAGACAATTGGGAATCCATGCAAAGCTCTGCATTAGTTAGCAGACAGTTTAGTCTTTCAGTCATTTTTTCTCTGTGGATGGAGATTTTGCCGGTCCCTTGCCCAGCTCAGAGCTGCAGGGCACCTCAGCGGGGCTGGGAGCACCATCCCCAGTATTTATAAAATGGTGCATGGGGATATTTGTCTTTTGTGGTTCATAGCTTTGCTTAAGCTGTGGATGTTGCAGCTTTGATATTGACCATTAATTTCATCTACATCTGAGTGCTGTGTGATAGGAAATGAATGTGGGGGAAAGAGGGCTGGTTTTGTCATAAATGCTAAAGGTGGGAGAGGTCACTCCCCTTTCCTTTTGGGTTTGCTTGTGAAAACGCTTGCTTTCCCCCGTGGAGTTATGGCACTCGAACTGGTTTCTTCCATTGCATAGTTACTGTGTAATAAACACCTCTGGGAAGTGGTTAATAACAACAGATGACACAAGCAAACACTAAAAAAAAAAAAAATAAAAGAAGGTGTGGCACATAATGATTTTTAGCAAAGGCTGCTGTGTAGCATTTAACTGGGAAACCTGAGCCGACAGGAACAATCTCGTAGGGCAGTCTGCTTGCCATTTAGTGGTTGGGTAATCTGTGAGCTACTGTAAGAACTTCATTTGTGGTTCAGTATGTTCTCATGAGAATACAGACAACAATAGCCTCTCGGTCTTTAGAGTTTGTAATGTGAACAGCTTTCCTAGCATAGCTCCTAATGCTCAGAATTAATGAGTCAGTCCCCACTGGACTTAGGAGAGGATCTGAAATGCCACTGGACTTTGAATAAAATAGGGAAGATTTATTACTAATCTCCTTATTTTTGAGCCTGCAGTTTAACCCTTAAAAGACACCTTCAGTGTTTGCTTCCTGAAAATAAGGACTATAAACTACCTGGGGTTGGGCTGGGAAAAGAAATCAGAGTTCTACATTGACTTTATCGAGCTGATCCTGCAGTTGTCTAAAGCCCCTTTGTATTGCAGCAGGGTGCTGAGAAATTTTTTATGGTCTGTGCTCTGCATCATCATCTCTGACAGTTTTGCTCCTTTTAGACTGTTTGCTCATGCTGGTGTACAAGGATAAATCTGAACGAGCAAAAGGGCATAAGGAGAGGAGCAGCATGACCTTAGAAGACATCTGTGGCTTGGATCCTGGGCTCTCCTATGAGGGCCTGAATCACACGCTCGCAATCATCTGTCTGTCCCAAGTGGTGATGCTGGGATTTGAGAGCAAGGAAACGATGTACGCGTGGGATGTGCGAATACGCTACAGTCTGGGGGAAGGTAACCTTTGTCTTCTCACAGTTTTATTCTGGTTTTTTTTTTTTTTTTCCTTTTCTCCCACAGGGTGAAAAACCAAAGAAAAGTGAAGTTAAAATGCAAATAAAACAGTACAGCTCAGGACAAGATTGTTACTCATTTGAGAGTGGACAAACTGTTCTCCCCCTTAGATGTTAAAGCAGGTATCCCTTCCAATAGGTTTTGACTACAGTACCATCCAGTACTGATGTATAACTATGACAGCTCTTAACTTGTGGTTTTGATTTTGACACTGATAGTGTGTAGCTTTGAAGCAAAAGTGACCAAACTTCTGCTTCTGGTCCTACAGCTGATTCAGGGATTCTGGCAAAAGGACTCAGGGCCAGCCTGAATTAAGAGATGCAAAGTACTGAGTAGAACTTGGCCAGTTCATGCCCAGGTTGCTGAGCTGCCTACTGGGTGTTACATTGATAATTCTCATTGCTGCTCATGTGCCATTTCAAAAAGAGACATTTTGCCCTGAGGAGTGTAATCAGACACATTCTTTCCAGCTAACTTCACCTTTCTCTTTCCTCCTATTTTATTTTCTTGGTTAGCAGCTGTAAAATATACTGTGGTGAACAAAGAGTGGTAATGTTGGTAATCCATAGTATCTGTCTTATGTTTGTTTAGTCATAACTAGGGAAGGAGGGTAGGTGTGTGGGAGACACACATTAGCAATCTTTATCATTTGTTACATATGCTCTGCCATCTGTTGGGTTTGTGGGCTCATTCCTTTGCAGTACATATGTAGAAAGATGGCCTGGGAGTTTTAAAGTAGAAATATGTAGCACTATGAGAAGTGAGATGTGTGGATATAACCCCCAGGGTTATCAAATACGAAGCCTTACATAACTGGAAAGGTTAGAGGAGTTGCTGAACAATACAAGCATGAGTAGCTGGAGTGGTTGGTGCACTTTGATGATACAGCTTTATAGTCTTACAGTGCTGGTTTTCTTTTCTTTTTTTTTCTTTTTGTTTTTTTTTTTTTTTTTTAATTAGGTTTGGGATCTATATATAGCATAGACTTGTCCTAAAAGCTGAAGGAATACTTGAATATAACAGAATAGGTGTGGCTTTTATGATCTTGCACTGATGTAGTGCTGGAGTAATTTCAGTCTGGGTGTGAGGGTTATGGTTGGGGTTGGAGGACATGCAGCAAAGAGTTTTTTTCAAGGAAAGCTGTGAATGAGGTAGGAATAGAGCCTACTGGATTATGACATGTGCAGCCATGGAGTAAAGGTGAAGTGGAGAAATTATGTGTATGGGGTGAAGAAATGAAGAAGCAAGAAAACAAGTGTAATTGGTTGAAATGGCAATAATTTGTATAAAGTTAATTGCAAACAATCTTAGGGGCAGGAGAATAAACCAAAGCATTGAAATTTCTTTTCAGAATTTTGTCTTTCATGTTCAATTAGGAGAACAAAGTCAAAGTGTGTCTAGTTTGAGTAGACAGAAATAGAAAAGAGAGACGATGTAGATGAAGAGAAGATGGTGACTGGTGTTTTTTCTTAAAGTGTAGTAAGGGTGCCTTTGTGTGCCTTGTGAAAATAAGGTGGCTGGATGATAAAAATAGGCTAGGGAGAGATGACCTCAGAGTCTGGGAAGCAAAAAAAAAAAAAAGTGAAAGGAGCTGACGCTGTTCTTGAATGAGGACCACAGAATGGAGGCGTTCACACTGGAGTTCCCAGTGTTTTCTCTCAGGTTTTAGCAGATGAGGGGATGTGATTCCTGGAATGTGCTTGGGCTCACAACTCATTTTGAGAAGTTAGTATACTGCAGGTCAGCGCATAGCTATGAAAAGGAAAAGATGGGCTGAAGAAAGTGATGGATTTAAGTAGTACCTTTTGTTCAGGGATATACTCAGCTCTGTATCTTCACAAATTTCTTTTTATAGAGTAAGAGAAGTCAAAGGCTGGGGAGAATTTTGAAAAATATTCCAATTTACCAAGAAAGCAGTGTATGGAAAAGCTTTAGTTTCAAATATGCTTTTCCTTTTACTTTGGCTCTGTTCAGATTTGGGTGTGCTGTATTTTGACAGTGCTCCAGAACTTGTGCTGGAACTCTTTGTTTTCAGCATCTGTTGTAACTTGCAATTGATTATGTGCACAGTGGGCTTCATTCCTCAGTTATGAAGGAGAAGGAATCCTGATGCTGCTTCTCCCATGGTTTAATTGCCAGCAAAATACTGGGCAGAGTTAACTGAGCAGAGGAATGCAAATGACATTAAAGATTGCTTTCTGAGCATTATGGATCACGATGGTTTTGCTGTCTTTTTGATAGCTTATGTTTAAGTAGGTTGCGTAACAACTGCGTGCCCAAAAGGGGACATGGTGTGACTATTGATTTGCTCCCTAGCAGTGCTACTGGCAGAACTGTAAGCAGAGCTGTGGTTAGTTAGATCTATCTCTGTCTCCTTGCACATTTCACTCGAATGACTTTGTGGCTAATTCTGCTGGAGCCTCAGGGAACTCAGCAAATGCATGTCATAGATGAGGAGTTGGCTTACAGCTCGGATCGTGACTAAGAATACAGCAAGCAGTTAGATGAGAAGCAAGACTCAGACCCAGATGAAATTTGTGATGCTTGAAGAGGCATGGGCAAGAAACAGGCAAGAGCTGAGAGTACCTGGAAGTTACCCAGTAGATTTCATAGGCAGGGAGCTGTTTGTGTAATCTTTGATACATAACCAAAAACGAAATCTATGTTGCTTCTTGATAAACACCACCAAAAACCTCCCTCTGGAAATCAGAGTCTTGCTGCTTCTCTCTACCAAGACAGATGTTGTTTATTTTTTAAATTAGTTGTGGTTTTTGTTTTTGTTTTCTTTGTTGGTTGGTTTTTTTTGTGTGTCTAATCACAATATGAAAGAAACTAGAGCAGTAGTGGAGGTCAAAACAATTGTTTGAGAATTATATTCTTCCTCACTTAAATTGCTCCCTTTGAAACACTGAGATTTAAGCCCTTGAAGTGATCCCAATAACTTATTATTCAGAATGCAATAGCCCTGGAAGAGAAAATGGGAGACCAGCCTAGAACAACTACTTTAGGTAAGGATACTGCAATTAGACTGGAACTGGGATTTGAACCTGGATTTTGTAAACTTGAATGAGATAAGTGTTTATTTTTCTTTCTCCACTCTTTTAAAATTTAGGATGTGAAATATGAAAAAATTAACTGACATCTAAAAGTGTTTGTTACCTTTAAATCGCTTAGCTTCCTAGTAATTTAAAATGTCTTGGCATCTGCCATCACTAACTAATGAAAGAGCCGCCAAGGTGGAAAAATGTCATTTTCCTCATTTTACTGCTAGGGAGGAAGTGAAGCAGTTTATTAAAGTTGCAGATGAGTCAGTGATAGATTTGTTTAGTTCTTTGAACCTTGGCTTTTGGGCTCCTTGAGCCCCATTTTATTTTTGTGCATGCATGTGGAAAAGGAGAGACACCGGTTAGAGGAAGAGACAGAGGGCAACCCATGTAATGATGCAAGGATGGAAGAGGTAAGTGAAGTCTAGGCTGCATGATTCACAAAACTGAGATAGGGATTAGCCTGGAAGATTTAGGATAAATTAATGTAGCATTGCAACTTTAATAATTTGTAGCATTAGGCCAAGAGATGGTGGATTTTTCCCAGTCCTAAACTGGCATAATAGGGAGTAATGGCCTTCCAGCTACTTGCATGTGGCTGTCTGGGCTCCACATAGATTTTTATGCCAGAGTCTCATGGTGTGGGCAGCGTTTAGTCCAAGTACCACAGCTGAACTGAGTGACTTACATAACACTTGTATATTCTGTAATAATTTTTTTTTCCTTATTTGATAGTTCATAGATTTCAAGTCTTTGTAGCCCCTGGCACAAAACTAGAGAGTGGGCCCGCTACCCTGCATTTCTGCAATGACATCCTTGTCCTGGCGAAAGACCTTCCTCCCAGTGTCATGGGGCAGTGGAAGCTCTCGGATCTGCGTCGCTATGGGGCTGTCCCAAATGGATTCATCTTTGAAGGGGGCACCAGGTGCGGCTTCTGTAAGTACAAATGGAACCTGTCCTCTAAATGTTGCTTGATGCCTTTTGCAGAAATGTAAATGCACTCTCATTCCAAGTGGAGACTGCAGAACCAGCTGTGCCACTTTGTCAGACAGGGAGCCTCTTATCAGAGGGTCTGTTCTGAGTAGATTTCTGCAGCCTTCAACCCTGGTGTTCAGGAGAAGTGTGGCTGTGTAGAGTCCTGGCTAAAAATTGCCCTGTGGCTCTCCAGAAGATGTTTAGTCAAAAGCTGCTGTTGAATACAGAGCAAAAATAAGGTAATGAAATTTTATGGCTTGTGTTATGCAAGAGATAAGGTAAAATGGCTTAATGTTCAGGTTATTAAATTGTGATTAATTATTTTGTTGTTCGCTGAGGGGAAAGTGATATGGAGCTTTGAGGTTACAGGCAGCATCAATGTTTTCATTTTGTAAATGTTAATTTCTATATCCCATAGGGGTCTTTTTACTCCTTAAAATTAGAACAACTCTCTGGTCCCTTCCCTATTAGCAGCTTTGTAACTGTGGAGTGGAGATGTGTGATTTTTGGGGTAAAAATTAAAGAAAGCAAGCTGAGGCTAGTTTCCATAGCCTAGTAGCTAAGATACACCTTTATATGGAGTATAAGGGTTGGAAGAGAGAACAATCTCTTGTTTGAATGGCCAGTTTAGGGCTTCTCAAATTCTCACTTCAGATAAAAAGTATGCAAGATCTGAAAAGGATAGTTAATTAATGCACAGGTATAAGAACATATCATTAGGTTTATAGGAATAAAGTTTTTAATTTCATAAGCAGAGTTTGAAGCCATGCTGAATTGATGATCTGTGAGCACAGCTGGGTATGCAGATTGCCAGTTTGGATGTGAGACTGTTTGACTTGCATACTTTTTTCAGTGAACAAACTGGAAAATTAGAAGAGTTGATCCAAATCCAGAGTTGATCCAAACTTAAATATATTTTTCCTGGGACTTGCATACTGTTGCTCTGCATGTAAATTCTGATTGCTATTCTTCTATGGATTGGAAACCCAAGTTCCTGACCTCTTTCTGACCTGACAGGAGGGTGTGGCCAGGTGGGGATTTGTCTCTTCTCCCAGGCAACAAGGGACATGATGAGAGGAAGTGGTGTCAGGCCATGCCAGGGCAAGTTTAGGTTGGACTTTGAGAAGAATTTGTACACAGGAAGGGTTGTCAAGCATTGAAATGAGATGCCTGGAAGGGTGGTGAAATCAGCATCCCTGAAGGTGTTTGAGAAATGACTGGACATGCCATTTAGTTGACATGGTGGTGCCCAGTCAAAGGTTGGACTTGATTATATTAGGATCTTTTCCAGCCTCAATGATTCTGTGAAATAAGGAGCTGGAAGTAGGTGCTGGAACCTGAATTATCCATGGTGGTTTTTCTTTTTTTTCCTCCCCTAAACTTACACTAGTTTCTGGTGAGAAACAGGAGGTCATCAGTAGCTCTCCTGTGTGCATGCTTTTAAAAATATGAAATTATTTTTTTAAGGTTACAAGTGAACAGAATTAGAAAAGTGCTTTGGGAAAGCACAATCTACCTTGTGGATCATTCTTAAGAAATATGTGTGTTGATAGCTGAGACCTTTCAGTTGCCATGAAAAGGTGTTTGCCTTTCCCCTGCCTGTGTGCATTCAGAGAGAAGAACAGCATAGTCAATTTGGTACAGAATAGCCTGCCACAGTTGGAAACTCTTTACAAGTTCAAGCTGATCTTGTTAAAGGAGTTGTTGCCCTTAACTAAGCAGTCAAACATATCTGCAGGCATAACAACATTTAAATATGTGTTTAGTCTAAACACTTGATTTTATATTGCCACTATAAGAAAAGTTTTTGAAAATAGAACCTAAAGAAAAATAGAGCTCTGGTTATTCTTGACAGAAGTGTGTTGGTAAAGTGAAAGACCGTCTTTCTTCAGATATCTTTTACCCCAGTCCTCTGGAGTTCTTGAGGCAAACAAGTAGTGTTCAGGAAAAAAAATTCTATGTTATTACAGAAGTTGTTTTAATTCCTAAACAAAAGCACTCTCCATTACCCTGTCATGTGAGTTTAATATGATATTATGCAGACTCTATTATTAATGTTACTTTCCTACAGGTTAAACCATATCTTTGCTCACATTCATCCTGTGGAGCTCTGAATGCAGAGGATTAGTGAATTTAAGGTTTATATATCACTGTAATAAATATCAAATTAAAAGTAACCAATAATATTTTGACTTGATTGCCTCTCCATAATAGAAGACAAGAAGCATCAAACTGAAGCAAAGCTTTTTTGGGTATACCTGTGGTAGAACTGAGGTCTAGAAGGATATGAATTTGTTTTAGCTTTCTATTTCTTGCTTCCTCACAAAAGTTTTTGTAAAGATAAAGCGCTTCATTATGTTCTGTTGCTTAGTACAGGTTTAATTCAACTCCAAAGGCTTTGGTACTCAATCCAGAAAAAGGGAAACCATCTGAGATAATGCTGAGATTTCAAACATTAAATCTAGGTACATTTTCAAGATGGCTCACACAAGTTTATTCATAAATAGGAAGAAGAACATTCTGAACTCTTGCTCTCAACATTGCAATTGTACTGCTAGAGATTAAATTTTTTTTCTGCTTCTGAAAGCTGCACATAAGTTATTTTCTGGGCCAAAATTTTGTTCTCTCTGTAGCTGAATCTTAGTCACACACCGTTTGCAAAAAAAAACCTGGTGTCTTGGCCTAGCAGTCAATTGAGAGGATTACATGGAGGAACAGGCTGGAAAAAAGGAGCCTCTCGCTTTCCCAAGTTCCCAGCTCAATTTGTGTGCACCAGTTAAAATGACCAGTTGCCAGGAGAATCTTCACTTAGAGGTCAGTGTGAAAAAATTCAAGTAGGGTAATAAAAGGGCACATTAACACCATGAGAATTCAGGCTCTCCAGTGTTCAAGTGCTTCAGGATTAGCTGCCAGAGCCTGGTTTAAAGCTGCCTCATTTTCTGACAGCATCTCCTTGAAGAAAGTAACTTGTGAAAGACCCTTAGTGCCCTTTGAAAGAACAGATGCTAATTGCAGCATAGGCAGGAATATTTCTGTAATAATTTTGGTGTTTTGATAAAATTTGGTACTTCCTTCCTTCATTCCTTTCTTGCTTCTTCTTCTGCATTTTTTTTTGAAATTTAGAAGTAATAGGGGTGGTTAAACTGGGGCAAAAGCTGGAATTTTTTGGAAAAAATGCTGGGTTGCATGGATTAAAACTTCTGTTTATATACAGATATTGTTTGCTGTCTCCTGCTTAGGCCTACTGCAGGCAACCAACATTTTCTCTGTTTATCTATTTTTAGTTGTCATGCCCACACCTTATTTGGCAATAATAGGAAAACTCTGTCATACTCCCCACAGAGAAGAGCAATGTGAGATCCCCTCTGAAGGGGGCTGCTGAAGGCCAGGGTTGGGATGTACATGCTGATTGCCATGGAATGAGCTGCTGTGGTTCCTGCCTGTCCTGCAGCTGAACGGCTTCAGGCTCTAGTATTGCCTGGCACCTGTTAGGAGTAGTAATTAATGGGAAAGAACTGACTCTTCCTCCCTGCTTTCATACACACTACAGAGATTGAAGTAATTTTTGGCTGTTGTCCATTTTTAAAGTGTGTTTGCCCATAGGTTTGCTTTTTTAATATGATCAGTTAAAATCAACACTGGCAACATTAAGTAGTACTTGGAAGTTTTGTGGAATTGGCAACTTGTCCTGAATGTTTGAGGGACTGTGCAGTGCTTTACTGCTGACTGCCACAGAGGACTGGCTGAGTGTTTCAGTCTCATGCAAGTGGTTGGAAGCTTCTTTTCACCAATTCTCATAGCCCATGGAGAGAGCTGAGTGAGCCCTTCAGTCTGGTGAACAGCTGCATGGTATTACACTGTGCATACCACACATTCCTTGGCTTCTAAATGCCTGTGCACCAAACCAGTTCCAACACATGATTGAGATATGTAATTTCCAGTAGTGAATTTTTCTCAAGAAAGTAGAAAAGAAATGTAATCACTTGCTTTTATGTATGCTTTAGTTAAGCCCTACCTACTCATTCGTCTCACTTGATGTTTTTTGCAAGGACCCTCAGACTTCTTCCTTCCCTTGAAATCTAGTTCTATCTACCAAAACTAGAAAGAAAATGTTTCCTGTGAGAGTCAGTCAGCAATTAAGGTGCTCATATGAATAATAGACTCTACAAAGAGATTATTGTATTTTTCTGTTGGATTTGTATCCACATACACACGGACATACACTCTTTGCACTGGTTACATAAAGGTAATCACATTTGGTTTGGGGATTTCCAAATGACTGATAATTACTTGCAGAAAAAAATCCTATGAGTTAAGCAGCCAGCTCACATGCACACCTTTACTTTCTTTTTTTCCATTAAAGTCAAAGGCTTGTAGAGCCTCTTAGGAGTTTAAGTAACTCTTGACAAAGGTGATAAATAAAAGAACAAAGTGGTCCAGATGTACTCTTTATGTACAGAAATAATTGAGGAATCTTTCTTTTGCCCTGATGGCAACAGGGAGGTATAGGATTCTGCTGAACTATCAGGCCACATAGTATATCACTATGTGCTTGAGACCTGAATGTCCTCTGCTGTGTTGTGTCTATATCCTACTTGCTAATGCTGCATGGAATGCAAAGGTCATGTTCTTGTAGACTCTCTGTACTCTGTTCAGGGAGGAGAAGTCAGCTCAAAGAAAAAGCTGAATTTCAGATAATTCCTGAATACATTGCACTCAGGATTTTTTAAATCATAATACAATGTTCTCTGCCTTTGGCATCTCCTAGGAAGGGGAGAGATGGGGCAAGACTGCAAGTGAGTCACCAGCAAAAATCTTCATGTCTGTCAGGCTGTGTGATTAGTGTTGTAGTCTCCTCTGATCATGAAGCCAGGGTGTGTTCATGTTTCTTTGGCTGAAGAATTTTTGGTAGGTAAGATCTGAAGAGATGCAAATGTGGTGGAGTGACAAATCAAGTTATGAAGATGCCTCTAACAATGTTGTCTTGAATAGATTTAAGCAGAACTGGCAGGGACCTAGATGTGACATAAACTGAGAATGACAAAAGAGTGTGGAGCAGAATATGTTTTTCCTAGAGAGGTTAGTTTACAGCTTGCTGGTTATACCTAATTAACTCAATTAGGTATTGTGGTTTGTGGTCTACTCTCCATTATCCTTTTTGTTTGAATCCTGCAGCCCTTTGTCAAGCTGGCAGTTTCTTAAGTGAAATGTGAGTATCCTGTTGGATATGGCAGGGTATCTGTTTGGAAAGTGATGGGGATGAAGTCACTCTGGTCAAGATCAGCTCTGCTTTTTTGAGTAAAATTGGAAAAAATACTGATGCAACTCAGAATTGGCTAGAGGCATGCAGAAGTCAAACATGTCCAGATTAGGGCCTCAATCACAAGGAGAGTAATGTGCAAAACCCTACTGCAGGTCTAAGATTTGATATTGGAATTTTATAGTATGCTTGGCTCTGGTGAAGTAGCAGCACTTCTTCAGGGTCTATATACTAATTTAATTTCCCTTTTTGTTTGCTATTGAAGTTTTATTTCCCTGAAATTGCTTGTTACTGGGGTGATCTTTGTCTGATGTTTTAAGATAGTAATTTTTCTTTTCCCTTGATGAGGTTTATATTTGGACTGACAATTTATAAAATGTTCTGTGGAGCCTTTATAGCCTTTTATGTTGTTCATGCAGCCATGTGTCATGGAGCTCATAACTTGTTTGTTTATTTAGTGAATCTCATTCTAATTTTGCTTGGGGCTATTCTTAATGAATGGAAAGCAAATATCAGAATAGAGCAAAGGGTAAAGATCTGATGACAACCTGTGGAGTTATGTTACGTTCTGTTAATAATAGACACATAGGACTTAGTCTAGGAAAATTTATACTATAATCCAGCAATGTAACCAAATTCTAATTTATTATCTTATAAAAAGCTCCTCTTGCTTAAAACAGGTTAAAAGTAGAATTAACTTGGTTCATTCTTTTGAAGACACTTTAAGTATCCCTGACACTTCCTGCATAGTTAGGTTTGACCTACAAAATTTTAGGGGTAAATAAGAATAAAAAACCTGGACAGCTGTTGAGAGTAAGATGTCTGTTTTGACATTCAGGGGGGATTGGAACTAGATGATCCTTAAAGTCCCTTCCAACCCAACCATTCTATGATTCTAGGACACTACTCTAACTGCCTGAATGTCATAAAATTAGCATAAATTATTAGACAGCTATTGAATTTATATGTATGTTTGTGGTATATTGTATGTGTGCTGACCTGAATTTTCTCTTTCTTTTCCCAGGAGAATATCTTGTTGACTTCTTTTCATGGCTTGCACTTAAAACTCTTTTGATTGCTGCACTATAAATAGCTTCAGCTAAATATATTTCTAGTGTTTCCAGGTGAAAACCATACATATTTATGTTGTGCTTTCTTGCAGGGGCTGGTGTTTTTTTCCTCTCTTGTGCTGAAGGGGAGCAGATCAGCTTTCTGTTCGACTGCATCGTCCGCGGCATCTCCCCGACCAAAGGCCCCTTTGGTGTGCGTCCGGTGCTCCCAGGTTAATACAGGAAGTACAGAGTAACCCAGTGAAGTAGGAGCTTGTCATGTCTCACACCCACTGCTGCTGGTGTGAGAGCAGCTCGCAGACACCAAGGGTGTGCAGAGTGCAAAGTGGTTTTCATTCTGAAATGTCACCGTACAGATTTATAAGCTGGATGTACCCAGTTTCCCCCTGCTGCTCTGCTTCATTCATGTTTCTGGTTATATTGCTAACTCCAGCCCTCTCCTATTTAACAGTACTGAAAGATGGCAATTTGAATTAAATGTACCCTAAATTTTAGTTTTAAACTTACACATTTAACTTGGATCCATGTCTGTATTGCTATTTTGCTAATTTAATGGAAAACTAACTTCTGGAGCGTTTTGAGTTTATCCAAAACTAAGTTCTAAGTCTTGTCAGCCTTAGAAAACCTTGTCAAGCCTCCACATTCCATTTAAGTCTTTCAACTTGAGCTTTTTTCCTGATGTCTGAGGATTAAATTCCTTTTCCTATTTCATGGTAAGTGCTTCATGTACTTCAATGTTCAAAGAGGAATTTGGATGGCATCATAATAAAGCCTATTTCCTTTTGATTTCAGCAGATGAAGTACAGTATTGAGTCAGAATGACTCTGTCAAACAGGACAAAAGTGTAGAAATGAGTTTGCAGAAAATTGTCTGTGATTTGGTGGCAGCATATAGTAGGAATAGGTTGCAAGAATGGTGAAGGCTGAGCTGGGATTTGTGGAATGCTTAGAGTTTGTGTAAGTGTTAGGCAGTTGATAAGTGTTCAGCAGGGTTTTATTGGTGTTATAAGGTTAAGATAATTGCAGGAAGGAACCATGATGGAAAATATTTAGCTTTAGCTTATTAGATCATTAGATAATGTGAAGCTTGTGAAAATAAATTCTGAAGAAATAGCTATTAGTTAAAAATAAGTAAATTCAGTAAACACAAGGCTCAGTTCATGTTGTCTTTCTCATGGTTGTAAGAGAGAATTAAGTTAAATAATCAAGCAGAATAGTAGACAAAAAAGTCATTCTCATGTGATGATATATGTTTGCATTCAATTAACTGGAGTGTTAGGAAAAAGAAGCCAACAGAAAAAAAACTACAACAGAAACACAAAAATTAATGTTTATGCTTAAAGCTTTGCTATTGAACACATTTTTCTGCATATCTAAAACTATGTGTCTATATAAATATATCTATACAATCCCTAAGTCTTGTCAAACAAAACTTTCTGTCTGGAAAAATTAAGCCGACAAATACCGATTCTGCTTTTATTTTTTAAATTATTTTTTTTAATTTTAATTTTAGCACAATGTTTGAAGATTCATTTTTCAGAAGCATGTAGGAGTAAATCTGCTTTCACATGTTAGTTATCTCTTCTGGTTCTTGTGGGTTGTTGGGCCATGTATTGCAATCCCTTCCCTCCTTCAGGAGCTCCGACTTCACTGAGGTGCATGAAGTGAATGTGGAATGTCCTGGGGAGTATTTGGTGGTTTTTGTAAGAGATCATTTTTCTGAGGTCTTTCCATTTCTCTTCTGTGCTTGATATGCTCGCCATTAAAATCTCATCCACTTGATTTCATGTTGTTTCCCTGGACAGGAGAAGTGTTTTGTCAAGAGTTGTGCTTATGTACTTGCAGACTTCTTTGCCTTTATTTATCCAAGATACTTTGAGCCCTCTAACTTTCATTCCTGTGTATTTTACCCATATCTCTTCCAATTTATTGTCCCTCCCTATGTCCATATTCCATGTAAAAAAAAAAATAATTTAATGTTCTTTATTTCTTATCCTGCACAGAAGCTTGTACAGATCTGTTTAAGGCACACAGACATGTACAGTTCTGGTGATTCATGCATAAACTAATTTTCCTTATCAAGTATGTTGTAACACAGAATGTACTCTTATGCTTGAAAAGGTTGAGTCTACCAGATGCACACCATGTGTCAGGCACTGAAATTCCCTCAACCTTTGAAAGCATCTGCTTGTAAACAGATTAATTATCTGTACACTTCAGGTAACTAAATCAAAACTTCAAAATTGGGGATTCTAGCACAAAACCTCTTGTCTATGTAATTCATATTTACTGCAGTGGAGAATGCTATACAGCCTCAACTGTACTTAATGTATGCAATATTCTGCTTTTGTGAAATTTAAAAGCTTTTAGAGAAACCTTCTCTTCACAGTTTGATACTTGAATTTGGCATCTTTCCTTTGCCTGTGCCTTTCCAACTTAAACATGAAATATGCTTGAAGCATTGTGGTATTTTCAAGGAAGGAAAACACACAAAGGGCAGATGTACAGAGAAACAATGTAATATGGTAGAAGCAGTCACAGTGACAGTGTTGGACTATCACCAATGCCCACAGCACCAGTATAATCTATAGAGGTTATGCAATCAATGTAGTCTGTCCTTGTCTTTGTAGAAGAGATGAATGAATGAAGCCAGTTGCTTTCTGTAGGAACACCACAATATGGTTAAAAAGGTGCTGAAATATTTTTTTTTTAGCATGAAATTAATTGGAGATGGTAGAGAGTGGTTTGAAGAAGACTGAAAAATGACCAGTTTTCTTACTTGCCATAGTGATTCTTATACAAATGTAAAATAGCTAGTATCCAAATGGAATTTGTAAACTGGGTGTGCAAGGGGTGTTTGCTCAAGGACAATATTCACATCTTCTTGTCAGGATTGTAGTTTTAAAAACTATACCTTATTTCATTAAAAGCATGATGTTCTTATAATATGTATCATGGATATGTGACTTCTGTACATATTTTATGATGTCATCTATAAAATATACTATGAAAATCCAGTGCAGTAGAACTCATAAACTTGACTTGCCCATACAAGATATCACAATCTGGTCTAATCTCTCAGCAGACCAGCTTTGAGCAGCCAGTCAGACTAGAGAACTCCTGAAATCCCCTCCAATCTGAATTATTCTGTGATGTTTTGGAAATGAATTAAATTATTATTCTCACAATAAAAAATAATTATATTATGTGTACACTCAAAATAAACTGGAAAAGGAAAAGAAAATTAGATGTTTTATGATTTATTACGTGCTGTAATTTTGGGAGTCCATTAAGTTTTCAGAATTGTACCACGAGAGTCCTATTGATATCTCCATTAGCAGATTGGAGGTTTTGATTTGTTAAAAGCTGTGTGATCAGGTCTTGTAAAACCCCCAAAGACATAGAAGACAGGAATATGAAGGTTGTGTAGGTATAGGTAGCTGTAGATACTTTTAGGAAGTGTAATATTTTAAATAAAGGACTCAAATGAGTGATGGCTATGGATGGCTTGTTTTCCCCAGCTATTAGTTGGAAGAGAACTATTGTAACTGGCTACTAACATGATCTCTTTTCCCCTTGAAGAGATATTTAGAAAACAGCCCAGAGAATTTACATTCTGTCTTGACAGAAGTCTAGATATGGACTTAGCAATGAATCTCTGATTGCATGGTTTGTAATCTATACTGAGTTGCATGCTTATTATATGAGAGATGTTTATCAGGTGTATGTTGAGCTTCTTTTTTCACTAGCAAGATTCACGTTGAATGCCAAACCTGAGCACAGCAAAGGCCCAAGAGCCCATCAGGGATGGGCTTTGATCAGTGGGCAGACCACTACTCTCTATATCTGATTATGTGACAGTCTAGTTCTGCAGTCTGGAAAGACCCCAGGTGGAATGTTGATAGTCTGGATGATATCTTTTAATTTCTGGAAGCTTTTTCAGCTTTGTAACTGACTGGAGAATGTACAGTTGCTGCTTGCTGAGGATCCATCTTTTTGTTGAAGCTTGATACACCTTTGGCCATTGCAAGACAGCTCTGTGGCTGCCTTCTGCAGTATTTGTACCAAGTGCATCCTCCTCAAACTTTTAGGACATCTTTTCATTCCCCCAGACATCTTACAAGGTGTGGAGATGTTAGCAAGGTGAGGGTCCAGGCCTGATTTACAAATGTACCTACAATTACACAGGAAGAAAGAAAAGAGAGATTTTCAGCCTAACTTATTTAATTTTGTTTAACAAAGTAAACCAATGTTGCATTTTAAAGGTGCATATAATCAATTTGGTGGCTGCTGACTTAACTGGATACAATACATTTTTTCCTGACAGGTGCTTATTGAACAGCCCTGGAGCTTTGAATTACTGTGACACTTTATTCGTATGTTACCAAAATATTCTAAATCTCCCACGATGAGCAGCTGATGTGGCTTTAATGAATACCCACCAACGTAATGTAAAAATAAAATCTCCAGCAGAGGCATTTTTAGTCCAGCTAAATTTGATGTAATCCTTCCCCTTTGCCCCAAAGCAGTGTTTAAGAAGATTTTGATGACTGCCTCACATAAAAGACGATTTTCCTCACAGCAAGGGATCCATGTTTGATTGTAAAATGATTTAAAAAAATATTAATTGAAGGACCTGAGTGAATCACAGGATGGGATACATTTGTTAACAGTTTGGGAAATGAAGGTCCTAATTGTTCTCGGAGCTGCTCTCGGATGTTGTGTAGGCAGAAGCTGTCGGAACTTCCTTGGACAGCTGTCTCAGTACCAGTCACACTGCTTCTGTCCCCCTGAGTGACTAATGTGGTAAATTGCCACCCAATTATTAAGAGATTGTGTATTGGGCATGCAAAGGTAGAGGATGATGTCCACAAATCCAACTTTGTAGCATTATGCCCTAAAAAGCATATTAAAAAAAGGCTTATCACAACAGCACTCATGGGCGGTCATAGGTTGTGCACTCCAGTGAGGACTCGTCCCTAAAAGGTGGCTGCCAGTGACTTTGGTCCATAGTCTGATCCTGTAGGAAAATGTCCTGATTAGAGCTTGCTCATCTGTAACCAAAAATACTGATACAAGAATCTACTTCTGGGGAATAATATTGTGTGTGTTTTCCATAGAAGTCTGGCTTATTAGCAGAGACAATTAAAGGTGAGACAAAGACTTGGGCAAGATTGATAGGTAATTACCTAAAACTTAGACTCTGTGTGTTTTTCAGGTTTTGAAGGTACTTCCTAGGAGGTTCTTCTGCTCAATCTTCCACAAAACAGGGCAATGAGAGCAGCACATAACTATGAACTCAATTTTATACATGTTTTATCCATAGGCAATCTTTAAGGGGAAGTTTAACCAAAATTATTACCGGTTCTATTGGACAGACAGTAGGCCTAGAGGTTTCATGTTGTTGGGTGAAACCTAGTGTGTTCTGTAGCTGTGTAGCTGATAGGGAATTTGGCCTCTGGAAGCAATTGAACATATGAAGTGCAAACTTTCTGACTTCAGCTTCCCTCCTACCTCATCTTGTATTTAATATAAGCCAATTTTACAAGATCAGTTGTTTGACCATTTAAAATAAAATTATATCTTTTGCTGTCTGTAAGAAGGACATAATTTACTTAAAAACTAGTTGTTGTGTAGGTTCCCTAGTTATGTTTTGAAAATCTGTATTTGTAAAGTAGTCATATTGTGAGGAAAGTGAAAGGACCTTTCCTACTGTGACAGTTCTTTGGAGTGGGAACGGTTAGTGTCTGTTTGCATCTTTCCTTGAACAATTTGCAGATCTGTTATGACAACTTTATATTCAAAGTACTCATAGAACATCTTTTTTGGACCTTTTTTGGACATAAGGCATTTAACTAGATACAGCAGGGTACCTGGAGCAGAGGACATTAAAAATAGCAGCTTGTAACGCTGTATGCTACTGAGCAGATCTTTGCATGGACCTGTCTGGGTTGCACCATAGGTGCTGGTGGCCAAATGTTGTGTTTTCCTTTGGCAGAGGTCCATATGGAAGCACTGGGGGTTTCATTTGAATAAGCACTTGCACAGATTCGAACTAGTCAATGCCTAATGTGAGCTGTCTTGCAGTGTAAATAGGAATGGACACCTAACAAAGCAATCCACATCTAACAGTCCGATTTTCTGTCTGAGCTGGGACACACAGAGGTCACAGACCCTGTTTGTCATGGGCATTGTTGCCTTGTCTCTGTTAGAACACCCTTGGATTCCAATGTATGTTGTTATAGATGGATTGTGTATATCTTGGTTTTTCTGCTCATCTTACCCAGATTGCAGACTGCCAAAGATGGAAACTTCCTTGACATGAGTAAGAAAAGTTAGAAAGTTCAACATTGTCATTTCTGTTCCTACCTAGGACAGGTCAGAATGGGAATATGGTTAGGGAGGAGAGATGGGGCAGTTGATAATGTAAGTTCCCATGGAGCTTCAGCTGACGTGGCAGTGCTCCTTCCCCTGATTATGAGCTTGCTTTGACTGCTGTGTTGACAATATCAAAACCAAGTCTTTTAAAACTAAAAGACCCGGGGTGAAAATGAAACTTTTCTTTCATGTTTTCAACTGGTTTTTGTCTTACTAACTCAATCACAACAATGTATATACTTTTTCATCCTCTTTTCCTCTCTTATTAAATGGTTCAGTGTTTTTGTGGTGTACTTCTACTGCCCTATTGATCAGATACACAAGAGCAGCAGTTGTGAGGAAGTTAATCTGTTTTTGCTGCCATTAATTACTTTTCCTATATGTTAATAAGAATTACTGAAGTTTCCGATGATGAGCAAGTTAGCAGACCATATCCTGTGCAACTGCTGAACATGACACACTCAGCAGTGATATTTGAAGGAATCTGTAAGGTTGCTCTTGGGATAATGGTTATGATTACTTCCAACATCTGGTTTTATTGTTATGCCTGCTGGAAATAAAATTATTTGGAGGAAACTGGTCTGTTTTACTGATGAGACTTCCACATTCTGTTTAACTTTTGTTCCTTTTGCTTTTTTTTTGGAATATAATGAGCCACCTTCAGTGAAATAATCTCAGCTGGAATGGCAAGCTCACTAAAATGTATGGGGAAAATCCATAACAGTACATTTTAGGAGTTATATCATCCTAACTTGTCTTGTATTAAACATGAAGATGGAGAGCCACCAGGTTGCTTATTTTATCTCTGACATCTGAACTTAAAGACAGTCTGAACATCCAACTTGAAAGCAAAGTCTTTGTAAATAGGTGATCTGGATTGGAAGATGTCAGTTTAATCACTCTGATTCTTACTTTATGATGTAGATTTGTAAATTTCTGGGATAAAAAATTTGGTCTTTCTGAATGTTAAAATTCCCAGTGAATCCAGTGAATTCAGGACAGATTTTATGTGGGTCAAATTAGATTTCAAGTCATCTAGACCTGCTGGGTGCTAAGTATTTCTATTGACTATGGTGCTGTGCTCTTCAGTGTTCTGTCCCTGGTGGTAACTGTTACAGACATTGCTTATAACTTCTGAAAAATCTTTGACACTTTTAAGTTACTGTGTACCACATGTCCAGGATGTACTTGAAGTCAAATTGTCCCATACATTTTTCCAATCATCATTTCAAGTATAAGAATGTAATTTTCTCTTTCCTTATTTATTATTTTCCACATGACCTTATTTATTTATTTATTTGTTTTCTGTTTCTTTTTAAAGATCCAAGTACAAACCCAGCCTATTCAGAAGAAAGATTGGCTCATGAAGCTTTGCAATTAGAGAAGCGCTTGAGCTTGCTGTCCCATACAAGTCGTCAAGGTAGTGGAGGTAAGAAATACCTTTAATTAAATAAAAACACACTATTTTATGTTCCTTCTTGCCCAGGCTTTAAAAGTTGTATGGCATGTATTATAAGATGTGGAGCTTACAATAAAAATATTAGGGAGATGGTCAAGATATTTGGTTTGTTATATTTGTTATGAACTGTAGGCAGTTCTCTAACAGCATTGTCTGAAGTCATTTGATGGAGATTGAATGTTTCCAACTGAGCAAACTGAGTTTTGAATTAAATGCCATTAACCCAGGAAGACCATTTAGGATGCTGAGTCCCACTGAATTTTTGCATGTAAAACTTAGAAAGAACTGTCTGGATCGAATCTGATATTTGCTTAATACCCTAATGCAGCCTTAATAACCTATGAGCCAGTGAGATGGACTCATATGGTTCACACATCAGGCTTACAGCAGATTTTTTCAGATTTTTGCTTTCCTCTGCTATCTGTACATGCCTTTTCTGGGGTTGTTAGTGTATCAAAGTAGATTTGGTGTCTAGCACTGGATCTGTAAAAGAGCCTGTGCCCTGAACTGGCATTTGAACTGTTTAATAGCCAAAGTTAGATCATCCAAGCATCTGCTTTGCTCCTGATTTTAAAGCCTACAAGCCTAAAAAATGTCCCTGTGAAGATCCTCAGGAGTGTGATTATGTGCTTATATACATGTCCATGGCTGCTTTGGCCTAGACACTGCTGGGTAATGTGACTGAATTCCAGTGAGACTTCCTGATGTTTTCTTAATTAGCATATAACTACTAGACTTAACTGAATGGATAGAAAACAAATGAGACTTGGTAGATAAGCATGCCTGGTTTTTTTAATTGAGTCCCTCTGGTCTGAAATCATGGCCCAACTTCATGTACAGTTTCTGCCTTTGTGCTACAAGAAAGTGGTTTTGTATTTGTTTGTTTGTGATGTTTGTGTTTTGTCATTGTGCTCTTTCATGAAAATGTTTAATTTTTTCCACTCATATTCTGTCTTTGGTGGCAGTAATTACCTGTTAAAATGCCTTTCTTGCAGCTATCATTGAGGAAAACTAGCTTGCAATATAGACATAAATATAGACAATATAGACAGAAGATATTTTTATATATAGATGTGTAAAAATTTTTATAACAATATTATTTTTATTTGTACAGTGATCTATGACTGTATTTTGGTACAGCAACCCAATTAACTGTATGAAAGTAAAATATGTTTGAGAAGGGGAGAGCTTGGTGCATAAACTTTAAAAGTTTAGTCTCGAATGCATTATGTTCCACAGTGTGGTAGGGTTATGGCGAGGTAACATACTATTGCAATTTATTTTTCCCATGGGGCTGTGAGGTTATTCCAGGAATTCTGGCTTTCTGACGGCAGTTCCACTTACAAAAAGCAGATGGAATCTCAGGGCCCTTCCTGTTTGTACATACTTGCCATGCTTGAGTCTGTTGATTGTGTTTTACACGTAGGTTGATGTGTTTCCTTCTTTTCTAGGAGATGACAGGAGTATTTCAAGCTCGTCTTCGGATACCAGCCACTCGGATATCAGTGTTGGGAGCAGGCTGACAGTGTGGCCTGAGCAATCTTCAGCCAGCACCTCTCAGGAGAGCCATGGGCTGGCAGCTGCAAAGGGCATTCACCTGGGAGAAGAAAAGTCCCTTCCAGAGGGGGCACGTGGCACCACTAAACCCCCTCCGAAGCCGCTCCGATCCAGACAGCTGCAGGAAATCGGTCGTCAGAGCTCTTCTGACAGTGGAATAGCTACTGGTAGTCACTCTTCCTACTCTGGGAGCTTCTCTTCCTATGCTGGGAGCTTAGACATTTGCCATGGTGATGAGTTTGGATCATTGCTAAGCTTGCCATTGAACTTTCCTTCAGATCAGAGTCTATGTACTTGCCCTCACAGTGAGTCCCAGAGAGGTGTGGGATCAGAGTATCAGGTTCCCAGCTCTCTCAGACACGTTTATGATATACCCAGGAGTGTGTTACAGGCAGCTTCTAAAGAAGTGCAGCTGAAGAGTGCAGATTCCACGCTACCCAAGGACCAGGCCCTGCCAGCTCAAGGTGCCAGTGAGCCAAGACTGCTACTACCACACTTGGAAGCACAGAGGGGACATGAGCACAGCCAGCACAGAGGGAGACCTTCATCCTTACTCGCAGAAAGCAGCAAGGACTCAAGTGATGAGACATATGCGGATTTTGTTTCAAGGTGGTCAGACACAAAACCACAAGGACAGGTGTCAGACTCCAAAAGTAGTGAGCTGTCACCACCTGGTGGGGCCTCAGCTGACCCCTGTGACACATGTAGCCCCCACCTTGGGATGACAAGAGCTCTTTTTTCATCTTGTCCAATCTGTGGTGGACTAAAGGTAAATACCTAACACTGAGCGGATGCTAACGAACCTTAATTCATAGAGCATGATTAATTTAAAATTATGTAAGTTGTAGGTCATAAGTAATACTGTTTCCTTTATACTCTGAACAGGTAATAACTTTTTCTGTTGTTTATGCTGAAATGGAGAGGCTTAGCACATGGTTTCCTCAAAATCTGTGCCTAGTCAAGGAAACACTTGAGCAATATAGACCACAACCATTACTTTTAAATCAGCCAATTTTGGCTTTGGGTACATGTAAGTGAAAGAGAAAAGTTTTGCAGCCACTGGATTTGTCATATAATGGCAAGCAAACACTGACCTGTCTTTCTGTGGGTATTTAGAAAGAAAGAAGAGAGGTCAAATAGTATGTGCTGCTCTTAAGGAGATCTGAGTGCATACATTTGTTTTATTGATGCTTTTGTTTTCTTGGTCACTGTAGTTTGAACATACCTTGCACAAGAAGCCAGGTTAGACCCATTTCTCACTGGAGAAACACAAGATAGTCAAGTCAGAATGTCAGTCTGGTTCTGTGACTGGCCCATGACAGGTAGTTTAGAGCAGGTACACAAAATTTCACTAGCAGTCTACAAACAGGACAGTTTATTTGCAGAAAAATTTATTTTTGATCTCTAGTCACATAAAGACTTAATGCCTAAACTGTGGAGGTTCACTTGCCTTTCCAAACACATTTGCCAGTATCTAAGAATTTGATATTCTTACAAATTCATTTTAGGCCTGCTATGTTCTTGTCTTTTTATGGCAGTAAGCTTTATGCCTTAATTATACATTGTATGAAAATGTATCTGATTTTATCCGTGCTGGAGAAGATTTTTTTTTTTTGTGAATGTGTTCACTAAACTTGAAGAGTGTAAAGCTGCTTGTATTAGTGAAAGGCTGGGAAGGTTAGAGGGAGTGCTTAATTTAGGGAATGTGTGAAGCAAGGATTCAGCAAGAGAGACTTCTGCATGAAGAATTAAACACAGCCATTGACGTGTGTGCATTTAATTAAACATGAGATTACATAAACCACTGCTATGAAAAGGGCTTGAATACCTAGTAGGTGATGAAAAAAAAAAGGTTATAAATTTGAGGGATTGTTTTCGTCTCATGAGGTGTTTCATGCATTTGCATCACTGAGTGCCTTCACATGTTTGCAAACTAGAAAGCTCTGTCTGCCTGGGCCACTTGCACAGCCCCATCACAGCACCTTGGATGTTACTGTGCCATGTGCCTGCAGCACTTGGCAGGTAGGGAGGCACTTGTGGGAAAGTTTTCTAAGGCTGTGGTCAGTAGGATCAGTGATCTTCCAAGGCCATCCTCGCCAGCCACCTGCACCACGAGGCCTGTAGCCCAATTCTGGAAGTGCAGCTGCAGGCAGTGGGCTGCACAGCCAACATTGGCTGTTGGCTTCCTGTGGCTGCTCCCTCCAGTCAGGGAGAATTTGGGAAGAATGACCTAGACTGGTTTCTGGAAGGGCTCTGCTTTGGGATTAGAAAGCTTAAAAGTGGCTTTGTTATAGGCAGGGAGGAAAGAAATAATTCCGGTACAATTAGCTCAAGTGGTCTAAATGTTTCTGGGTGATCCGAATTGTTGGTTTAGATGTGAATTTATCAGATCTTACCCTGGATATCTGTGAAAGATGGGAAGCTGAAAGTGACTATTCCACTGGATATCTTCAAAATCATTAAAAGCGAAATTATGTCACTACAACTGCCTGTTGACCCCAATGACATAAATACTCACATCTTTTATTACAAAGTGCTGTCAGGTTTAATGGTGTTTCTAGCTGCCATAATAAGTTGGCAAGAATTTCAGATATTGTCTATATGTAAACAAATTTAGTGATAAACACTGGTGCAACCTTCTTCCTAACTTTTGTTTTAGCATGCGATATGCAAATCTGCTTTTTTTTTTTAAGAAACCATTTATAGACAGTCATGAAAGAAGTCTCATTAAATGAAATGATTCATGAGTTTGTTTTTACTTTTGAAAGAAAAAATAACCCTTTGATTCACTCTCTTGAACTGTCATGAATGAGTTATTTTAGCATTATTTAATGGACGCTGTCTTTGGCATTTCTTCTGATGAGATAAGTGAAAGCACAAATCCATAGACTGTAACTAAAAATAATTATTACTCCTTGTACTTTGAACAGAATACATTTAAGTTAGGGTCAGGAAGAGTTGATTTATGGATTGATGAAAACACCAGGTTTTCATGTTTATTCAGATTCGTGTTCAAAAAGCTTTAATGTGCCAGTGTTTGGAGTTCCTTTGGAATTTTGAGTTAAGCTGTTAATTAAATTGTGTTAATGGCTTTTAAATGCCTACTATTATAAGTGACCCAAGTAAGAGGAAAGTCTGCAGCAGTAATTAAGGCTATAAGCATTTGTTTGTTTTGTGCCCTTTGGTACAAATGGAGGTTAGGTTTGGGCATGTGGCGTGTGCATGTTCGAGTTCAGTGTGTGAAGAGCTGGAGAGAGGTTGCAGGTGAAGATGTGCATATGGGGGGGGCATGGTGGGGGTCCTGAAGGGGATTGACTTGTTAGGAACCACCTGCTCCTCTAATGACAAGGATGATGATGAAAACAGGGAGACTAGACCCTGGGAACGTGCCAAGGCTCAAACAGAAAACAGGGCAAGGAAGCCTTTCTGTCACTCTGCATGAAAAATAGAACCAGCATGAAAAGAGTTACTAAATATTGCTTCTATTACTTGTGTATGGTATTTCATATTAGACACTGGGGACTAAGGAGCAAGCATGCAGGGAGATTTGCTTTCTGTTGTACGTAATTGTGCTGTGCTCAAGATGTCCTTTACAGATTTCCAAGGTGTGCTTTTGCTATTGTAATATGACCTAGTTGATTTCAGTGCTGTAGATGATTGCAGAGGTTAATTGTCTATTGTAAGTATAATTTAAACTCAGAATTGGTTGTTACAATTTCTGAGTAAGCTGTAGAGATTTATTATTAGACTTTACTTATTATGTTCTTAACTACTTAACTAATACTAATTTGATGAATAGAATTTCATTGTATGCTTGTTGCTCTGTAACTTCTTTTGATGCTATAGTTTGAGAAATGTCAACTTTTTTATAGGTTTTTTTTTCTACACCACCATTGCTTGTAAATTTTCTTAGAAGTCTGAAAAATAAAATTATTTTCCAACTGTTTTTGTCCTTTTCCATCTGACAAGTGCTGTGTCTCATTGTGCTTTGCTTTTTGTCCCCTGACCTTCTTCTTGCAAGTTGAATTAATATGGAGTGTTTATGGCTGTCTCTTCATGCTACTTAGTGTTATACTCAAATAACTGTTGACAGCTCCAAATGTCCCTATTAGTAGGAATTACATTTATGTATGTCTAGCTCATGCTAAACTCATATTTATGTCAGTGGGAGTTCTTATTTATGTAGAAATATAGTCATGAGTACTGCTTTGGTAGTTAACTTGCTATGATAGAGGGGAAAAGAAGTTGGCAGTTTGTGTGTGGCTGTTGTCATCAATCTCTCTTGGTATTCAGCCACTGATTTAAGCTGATGATTTTAAATTATCAAGGCCTCCTTGGGGACAACATGGTCTCAAATTATGAGCTAATCTACCCAAATTCTCTGTGAGGTGCTTGTATAATTCCTGCTATCACAGTGACTCTGTGCCTCAAACTTTGAATCTCCTAGCATATCTGTAGTAAGTGGAAATACAGAAATGTGGTGGTCTTGATGGATAGAAGGGGTTTTGCCAGGCAGTGGGATCCACAGCACTGGGGGGCTGAGAACCCTTCCCTACACAATCCAGGGAGGACTGGCACCTGCCTTGGGAGCACGTGGATCTCAGTTTAAGTGAGGAGTTGGTTTGGCTAGGTGGTAGGATATATATTTAACTCTTTTAGTCTGTCCTGTAGAAGCTGCTTTATTTTGCATTACACCTCCACGGGAAGGCATGTGCATGCCTTGAGCAGGCTCTTTACTGCTGTGCTTGATCATGCAGCCCCACATCCCCCTTTCAGAGCTGGTTAACACCTACAGCTTTGGGTGAGTGCAGAGTCTCTGGGTTCTAGAGAAACTGAATATCTGTGTGTTCCTTGTGCATTGTAGACCAGGGAGAGAGATTAAGCCTAGGGAGAAGCACAGATGATGTGACTTCAAGCAGAGAAGGGGCTTGAACTCTAGAGCATCCTACACTGACTTGCCTGGCACTAATTTCACAGGGTCATAAGCATCTTGTTACTGGGTTGAGAATATAGCCTAAATCTTCCAAATCCTGTGCAAACCCCTTAACCCTAGAGTTAGCTGGTCATTGTAGATGCTGCTTTTGAAAGTGGTGAAAGAGAAGGCCTGTAAGGTGTTAACTTTCTTAGTGAAATCTGAGAAATGTCAGCTGCATGACTACATGGCCATATCTGTGTAACTGAGAATGTTTTAATTTTTTTTGGCTTTTAATCAAGTACTTTTGTAATGTAGTACTAAATCAGATACTAAAGAAATCACAATGTACTGTTATCTGCAACCTTAATTTAGCTATTTTTTTTCTGTTCTCTTTCCCCAGGAGACTGAAAACCTTATGTGTTTACCTTGTACTGTGTTTATTTCCATGCTTTCTCTGACAGTGTAGGAACATGATTATTTGTAATTGCACATCTTTTACATCTCTTTTTTTTACAGTATTGATGTGTGGTGCTGTAACATTTTATGCTTCCTCCCACCTTTAAAAAAGCTACAAGCTGTCTAAATTCTCAGCTGAGAAGGATGCATTTTTCATCTTCTACAGCATTGTTGCTGCTTGTATTTCTGCTCTAATCCTAGAGCTCTGGGCAGCTGGGCAACATACTGTCAGAACTATGACAGGAACAGTTTGCACCTCAGAGCAACCTGGAAGTCTGTTGTCATTATTGACCTGAATTATGTGTTTGTGAAGTTTTTGTATCTGAGTCCTGCTGACTTTTTGCATGAATTAGAAAACTTGCTTTTGTGCTCTTTTCTTTCAAGATTTAACTCCTGTT